CAACTTGTGGCTTCGCCCTGTCAACACGTGGCCTCCACCGAGGTGTGGCGGCTCACGGAGACGGACGAGACAGCACGGGACCCCCTCCCCACCCTCGTGTGCTCCCACCTACAGTCCTTGGGCTAGGACGAGCCCTCCTGAGTTCCTGGGGACAGGGGCTGCACCTGGCACTCCCACCTTCACACGTCTGGCCGAGCTCTCTGGAAGCCCAGCCTCCACGTCCAGCGGGGTCCTTCATTCACAGCATACCTCGGGGGTGACTCGCCCTCACCACGTCCCCAGTGAGCTCCTGGCGCACTCAGAAAAGGCGCCCCGCCTCAGCGAGCGGCCCCCCAAACAGCCAGCCGAAGCCGCAGGCCGCACTCGACTTCCTCCTCTCTTCCAGTCCCACCTTCGACCCGCCGTTTTACCCCCGTCTGCGGTCGGGGCAGCCCCTCTCCGCTTCCGGGCGGTCTGACGGCTCGGAGTGTGTCGGAGGGCAACGTCCATCCCCCTTTTCAGGTCTTCCAGAGGCGGAACACCGGGCAGCTGGATTTCTTCAAGCGCTGGCGGACCTACGTGGACGGCTTCGGGGACCCCATGCAGGAGTTCTGGCTTGGTATGGCCTTTGGGAACCCCGGAGGGCTAGGTTGTGGAGGGAAGATTCTCGCCCCCCCCAAAAGCTGGCCAGGCAGCTCGAGGAAGCTCCCCACATTCGGGACAGGTCCAAAGGAACCTGCCGCCCGGTGTGCTGCTGCTGCCTTAGAGAGATGGGGTCGGCGGGGGAGGGAGGCTTGTCCATGGTTGCCCCCCACGGTGCCCTTCCACCCCAAATAGCGTGGCTGTGCCAAAGAAGTAAGAGGATGAGAAGATGAGCTCCCCAAAAGAGAAAGTGGGGGGAAGGCCCCCATTAGCAGAGGAGGCGAAGGCTAAGGTGACTTTTGGGGCTGAGTCTCCAGTGCCGGCGGCGAGTGCTCGCCCACCTTGGCTGATCGGCAATTGGAATTCCTCATCTTTAGGACTTGACAAGCTGCACAATCTCACCACCGGCACCCCCACCCCATACGAGGTGAGGGTGGACCTACAGACGGCCAACGAGTCCGCCTACGCCGTTTACGACTTCTTCCAAGTGGCCTCCAGCCGGGAGCGGTACCGGCTCGCAGTGGGGAAGTACAGAGGCACCGCGGGTAAGAGGCAGAGTCGCTGCCGCTGGGCCCCTCGCCCCGCGAGCGTCTGAGCCTTGGTCTGCCACGTGCCGTTGATCTGGGGGTGGAATACCGTTCTTGGAAGGCGAATCGCTCTCATCGACAGTCGGGGACCTGCTCCCCGCAGGGGGCCGGGGGTAAACGAAGTCGTCACAGCAATCCTTGACCATCATAAAGTCACCATACCTGTACATTAAACACTGACACGCACCCCACCTCCAGCCAGTAAAAACCCTCCTTTTGTGCTCCCCAGATTCAGGTTGTAGTGTACTGGCTGGCGATCCCACATTCCGAGTGATCTCATGGCGCCCGCCCGCCTTGCACGCGGCCTCAGCAGGTGGCTGCTACTTGCATGCACAGTGTGTGTGTGTGTGAGTGTGAGAGTGAGTGTGTGTGTGTGTGCGTGTTATCATTTAAATAGTTTGGGGCACTTTGCCATAAATAAAGACGGAAAACCAAAAGTGCTGATTCTAACAATAAGCGTAGGTCCCAAACCTGTGACAACAGAGAAACGAGCAGTCGCATGGAGAGGGGGTGTCCTCAGCCTCACCAAGCTGCCCACTGGTTTAAGCCGGTTGATGGCTTGTTTAGTTTTGAAGGAAAAGAAGAAAATTAAGCAACATGACAGAAATACCGAGATTATGCCATTGAGTATTTTAGGAGGGCAAAGGTGGTTATTGTTTTAATGGTACATTTTAAACCTATAGTTATAGTTTTTAAAACCCTAACGAGTAGGTCTGTTTCTTGGTTTTGCACGTTTTCGACTTTGGTGGAACTGGGCAGGAATGTGTTACCAGCCAGATCCACTGACCATATACGACCTGGTCTGTCCTTCTGGACGCACGTGGAAATAGATGAATGATGACGTAAGGTGACCATTGCAGAGCATCGCGAGCAGTGCGGAGAGCTGAGGGAAGGCAGTTGGGGTTTACTCCTGAGCCTTGCAGGCCCCCTCAAAATCATCCACTCAGCGACCTATTCACAGAAGACCAAACAGACACCGAGATCTGAAGGGGCCAAGTGCTGACACGAAATTTCTTTTAGATTTTATGATTTCATTGTTTAAAAAATTACATGAATTTCGCACTTGCTCTTGTTGCCCAGTGTTTAACATGGAGGCTGGAGCAGGATCGGTGAGTTTAAAATGTGATGTTGCGCACAGGATCTCTCTATATAATCTTAAAGATGTTTTATATTGTAAAGAATAGTCCCCAAGACTCAGTGAGTTTCCACAGCGGTCAGTGATGCAGAGTCCGGTGGCATGGCGACACAGAGGAGACAAAGTGGGTGGGGTAGGCGCCATGACGAGTCCCTAAAGTCTCACCTCTGTGAGTTAGTTTCCTCATGGGCCCAGGAGGTGCCCGACCCCCCTCGCAGGCTTGCCGGGGGACCTAGTGAGAACACGTGCGTGATGGCGATCTGTAAACTCAGAAATCGCATGGCAATGCAAGTGTCATTATTGTAGAAACAACTTAATTACGCTGGGGATTGACACGGGCCCTTATTGCCTTCTATGAGCTGACTTAAAAAGAAAACTTATAACAGAATGACAAATATGGTGGGCAAGTAGGAAAAATGCAAGTCAAATAAGTACAGATTAAGACTCTTGGGGAAACAGGCCTGGAGGTTAGGTGGCAGAGCAGGAAAGAGAATCTCTTGTGTCATGTCCTCGTCTTAGACCTTTCGAGAGAGGAGTGACTACCTGTGACGTCACCGGCTGGATCCTTGGCATTTTTGTGCCGAGGGGTTGTTCTGCTGAGCCCTCTTTCGGGCCAGAGTATGAGCCCCACTCCGGGGTGTAACTGGCCTCTCATCTCGTCTTCTCTCCTGCAGGAGACGCTCTGACTTACCACAACGGGTGGAAGTTTACGACTTTCGACAGAGACAACGATATCGCCCTCAGCAACTGTGCTCTGACGCATCACGGTGGCTGGTGGTACAAGAACTGCCACCTGGCCAACCCCAATGGCAGATATGGGGAGACTAAGCATAGTGAGGTAAGTGGCAGGTGAACATCTTTTTTTTGTTGTTGTTCCAGGCTCTGCACATATTCAGTCCCCAAAGTGACATCGTCCAGGTTGGTTCGGTTGCTTCTCCTGATGCTTCCAGTCAAGGCAGTAGGGCTTCTTTTCCAGGCTCTGTGGCCTGGAGGTCAGGGTCCCTCTGGCCATCTGCTACAGCCACTCTGCACTCTGCATCCTCCCTGCCCCCAGTGACACACACTTCGTGCAGGTGGGTGGGAGTTCAGGCTGCCCACTGCCGACTGGGGGGCTTAAACAACAGACTTTTATCTCCCACTGTTCTGGAGACTGGAAGCCAATGCGAAGGTGCCAGCAGAGTCAGTCCTGGGGGGAGTTCTCTGCAGAGAGAGAGAGGTTGGGTGTCTCTTCCTCGTCTTCTAAGGGCACTAACCCCAGCACGGGGCACCCACCCTCATGACCTCATCTAACCTGATCACCTCCCAAAGGCCCCGCCTCCTGATCCCATCCCGTTGGGGGCGGGGCTTCAACACTGCATCTGGAGGCGGGGAGCACACACGTTCCACCCGTAACAGACATCCCACGATCTTTCTAGTTCTCCTCCCAGTCAACCCAGAGCTGTTTTTCTCAAGTCCTTTGATCACCAGGAAAAACAGTTTCTTCTGCTGTAGGCCAGACCTACCCTTGGATGCATTTCGCCCAGAACCACCCCGAGTCTGCCCAGAGCGCTGCGCAAAGGCAGTCCCCCCCTCGGGAGTGCGCACACGGCTGAACGTTCCCCAGGCCCCCCGCCCCTGCTTGCTCTGACATGTTCCCACCAGCAGCTCCGTGAACCTCCGTGACCCCTGGACATTACCTTGACCCCTCCCCAGCTATGGGGCATCTCCCGTCTGCTTTCTCATGGCTTCACGAAAGTCGCCTCTTTGTCCTCACGCATCACTAACCCGCCCCCTCCGTGCGTCCCGGGGGGTCTCCATCCTGGTTTCTGAGTCTGGCCTCCAGGAAGCCACGTGTCCCCAGAACTCACCTCGCACCAACATCACTGGATTCCGGGCACACTGTGATCCCTTCGGCCCTGACCGGGCAGTGGGGACTCCTGATCCTTCTGCGGTTTTTCAGAGGGATGAGGAAGTCTGCCCCCAGGGGACCCGAGGGTGGCCCACGCGTCATGGCGGCAGGTAGCAGTGTGGGGGCCGACCCAGGGAAGCCTCCGACCGGAGACCAGATATGTGAAATGAGCAGCCAGCGTGCCCTAAACCACCCCCATATTTGGTAATAAAAAACATTCATCTGGTTAATGGGCTTTCCGCAGTCGGCAAGGCATTTAGCTTCTTGTTTATTATTTACCTCACAAATTAAAATACATAAAATTGGTCACTTGGGCTCTTTATTGGCCAGGTTGCAAGGTTATTAAGTGAATTAAATATTACGGTGCTCACCAGTCCAAAGACATAGAACGAAATTTAGTTTTCAGCAGGCTGTTCGTGACCCCAGAGCTAATATCTAAACGGTCTAAATTGAAAATGATTTTACACAATTGGCCAATTAATATGTTTATTTTCGCCTTTAACTTTTTGGAAAAGAAAAGAGTGAGGCGAAGAATTCGAGCGCTGCGGGCCAGGCTGACCCCGCGTTACCCCGGCCGGCCGGGCTCAGGCCTCAGCGGCCTCGGGGCTCCCGCCCGCGACCCGGGGCGCCGGCCTGTGCGGCCCCGGCTGCCCAGCAGAGGGCGCGCGGGCCCAGCTTCCGCGCCCGCGGCCCTCCCAGCCGCCCGGTCCCCGCTTGTCCCTTTTTCTCGTCCCTTTTTCTCCGCCCTTAGCGGGGAGCGAGTGGCGCCCTGGCCGAGACGCCCCCTTGGCCGCCCAGGCCGCGCTCCTCCCCGTGACGCCCGCTTTCTTTACGCAGGGGGTGAACTGGGAGCCCTGGAAAGGACACGAGTTCTCCATCCCTTTCGTGGAGCTGAAAATCCGCCCTCGGGGCTCCAGCGGGGAGCACGTCCTCGGCAGGAAGAGGCGGGCGCTCGGAGAACATTCTAGAACGTTCTGACCGGCCCACTCGAGCAGTCGTCGCCCGAGGCAAGACCAGCCCGGGGCTGGGGCGCCGGAAGCGTGGGGTGGAGGGGGGTCGTGGTGGCGGAGAGTGGAAGTTAGGGGGACGGTCATAGCCTCTAGTTTCTGAGATGGCTGGTCACCCTGCGGGACAAAGCGTGTCACCAAGCTTCACATCACAGAGGGCACTTCCCTGTCACCTGCAGACCTGTGCCATCTAGATTGGGGGCCTACAGACCAACGCAGAGCGAATGGGACGGGCAGCCCCGGAACCGCAAGCTCTTTGGGTCTGCCGTCAGTAATGAACATTCGGGATCAGGGCGATAAAAAGCATCTAGCACTTTACCTATTGGAAACCTCTGGAAATATATGTATATTTAAAGCTACGCTAATACAAATCTTTTCTCTAGAAAGAAGCATTGGATGACCAGGGGTTCTGAAATAGCCCGATGCTTGTGACCTCCCTTTACCACTGGGTTTTGAGGATAAAAAATTGCTGGTGTCGTGAGCAAGAATAAAGGGGACCAAAAGGGACCGAGGTGGATCCGCATTCGCTGCGTTCTGACTGGCGTCCATCAGCCAGAGGGAGCCTCCACGCTGCGCTATTTTTAAGGGCCCCCTTTCCGGCCATTTGCATAATCACTTTCATAGATCTGCACATGTTGTGAATAAATTCTCACTCGTGTCAACTTTAAATCATTTGGCTTTCTCGATAATTGGTTCCTCCCAAAGCCTCTTTTCTGCGCCTCCGTTTCACGTGTCAGGTCCTCAGCCTCCCTCCTTTCCCCGGCTCCCCCCACTCTGTGCGCCTGGGTCTCCCCGAAGTCTCAGCATCAGAGGCTTACCATTCGCATGGACACCGGGCCAGACCCTTTCGGCTTATTTTCCTGTCACTCGGCAGGGTTTTACTGTAGGGAAGTCACTGATCATCGAAGTAATTCAAATTCCTATTCAAGAAGAAAATAATAATAAAGCACTGATTAAAAACATTTTTGCCTTGTGTTGTTTTCCCCACGTAAGTACACTCGAGTTCTAAATTTAACCTAAATGAAAGAAGAGGTGAAATTCGTGCATTATAACGGGATTTGGACGGCTGCGACCTCTTACTTGTGTGATGGCAAACGATGGCCTTTGGAAGCAGCAGAAGCGCGTGAGTGGGAGGGACACACACCGGGAAAGCTGCGGTCCTCCTCCAGGACAGGGGTCATTCATGGCCTCAGCTTCTCCCAGTTTTAGTTTCTGGCTGAAAGCCAAGCCATCCTCTCAAGGCGGCTTTTGTCAACAGCCTTTAAAGTTGTCAGCACCCCCGGGTGGCCTGAGTGAAGTACAGTCACAGCCTTGGGGCCGATTGTTTAAAAATGGCCCCACGCATGGTTCGTGGACTCAGCGGGAATTTCAGGGTCTGCCTGCTTCCTGCTGCGCAGAGCGCTTGGCACCGGGGAGACAGAGCTGAGCTCACAGAGGCCAGACGTGGTCCTTGCATTAATGAGGGGGGCGTGCAGTCATTCACTCACTCACTCATTCATTCACTCACTCATTCACTCATTCATTCGCTCGCTCACTCAGCAGACACTGACAGCCCCAGTGTGCGCCGGCTTCCACTCTGGGCGCTGGTGCTGGGGACGTAAAC